CGTTTCCGCCACTGAATAAAAAAATAAAAAGGTATTTGCGACTTTTTATCTCACGATTCTGACTATCCGACTGGGAAATTACATCTCGCAATTCTGACTTTTTTTCTCAGAATTTTGAGATATAAACTCGCAATTGCGAGTTATAAAGTCAGAATTGCGAGATATAAACTTATAAACTTGCAATTCTGAGAACATAGTCTTTTTCTCCTCAGAACTGGACTTTATTACTCGCAATTGCGAGTTTATATCTTGCAATTGTGAGAAAAAAAGTCAGAATTGTATATATATTGTACAGAGTTTATATCTTGCAATTGCGAGTTTCCCACAATTCTGACTTTATATCTCACAATTCTGACTTTATATCTCACAATTCTGACTTTATATCTCGCAATTCTTAGAAAAAAGTCAGAATAGCGAGATGTAAACTTGTAACTGCGAGAAAAAATTGTGAGATAAAAAGTCGTAATTACCTTTTTTATTTTTTATTCAGTGGCAAAAATGGGCTTCCATACAAAAGTATACCAATGCTGTGTTTTTTTTGTCCCAGGGCACACAGAGCAGTAAATATTGTTGCATAACTGGCTTGATATATGAATCTAAGTCAAATACAGAAAGAATGCTCTGTACCTTTGAAAGACAGCATCAGTTTTATAGCACAGTAGCCTCTGTTACACTCCCAAATCCACCTGCTTTCATTTATAATCCCAACGAAGCTGGGACATTTGCTCAAGAGTCCATTCTCCATGCGATTAGCATTGCATGACCCTCTGATGTAATGAATAGAGTGAAACAACATGCTGTTGTGGTTCTGGAACTAAATGTAGAAGCAGCTGCTCTTTTGTATGCAACATCAGTCATATTGTTTCCTTCTCAGTGCAATTTTGAATCAATCCAATCAATCAGTTCAAGAGCCTGTCGGAAAAGAGAATGTGAAACGGACTTAACCCTGACCCTGGTTATTTTTCGATAGTAAAGTGCTCCTGTGTCGCAGGGCTTTTTGAAGTGGTGAAATCAGACCCCCTATGTCTGATATTTCCTGAAAATGTCAGTGGGACAACAAGTCTGAAAAAGGATACAGTTCCACAACTCACTCTACACTAACATTTTACTACCTGGTCACTCAAAGGTTGACGAGTAGATTCATCAGTGTCAAGGAGATGAGGTTTCACTGAATGTTTCATTGACTAGTGTAAGGTAACAATACAAATGACAGAGAGCCAACAGTCTTTCTCTGAAGTGATGGGTATATTTCACAAAGTTAGTCACCTGACTTTGTATTATAAAAAAAATTAAGAATTAATGCAGTCAAAGTGAACAATTCTTCCCTGTTAGATGATAAAACGAGAAAAGAAACATACAGTGAAGAAGGATAAATGCTACTAACTTACTAAAAAGTAAGCACTAAAGGCGTACTGAAGGCTGCACATTGTCCTGTCCAAACTAAAACAACAAGCCAATTAGGGTGGAGTGGCTTTTATTATTGCAGCTACTTTTCTGTCGAATCAGCCACAATGAGGATGTGGGACGGAGTGTCGTGATTGTCTGTCTGTGTCAGCACAGTAGAAATGCCACTTTGAATCTTAAGGCTTTATTTCACATTCCACTTTCACTCTGGGCTGCTATAAACCTCCTAAACCAGTCTCAAAAACTCTTGCCTTTAAACTTAAGTATATGTTTCTGTCCTGTGCGAGTGGCCAATGAGACGTGGTCAGAGTTACTAAACATTTAGCTTCATTTGGATGAAGAAAACTTGAGAGAAGACCATAAACACGGGAAAAGAACCCGTCATCTCCTTATAACAACACAGCTAACATTTCAATTATAATTCCAGCACTTAAAGAATTAAAGGAATAGTTTATCCAAAAATTAACATTGTTATAATTTACTCATTCTTAAAGGGGTCATATGATGCGATTTCAATTTTTCCTTTCTCTTTGGAGTGTTACAAGCTCTTGGTGCATAAAAAAGTCTCAAATCCAAAGAGATATTCTTTTTAAAAGTTAAGAGTCAACCACGCCTACCTAAAACGGCTCGTTCTAACACGCCCCCAACATGTCAACGTCACGATGTGGGAAGATTTGCATAACGCCGCCCAAATGTTCACGCAAAGAAAGAAGGCGTAACTTTTATTCTCACTGTAGTATTGTTGCCGCCGCCGCCATGTCGTGAGGGATCGCCGGATCGGCTTTCCCCGTGGACAAAGCGTCCAGCCCGGGGTCGTCACATGTGGTTGCCGCAGGCCCGCCGGCCGCCCCTTTGTCGAATCCGCTGGCCGCCGCTCACTCAAGCCCGCTGCTTGTGATTTGCCACTGATGATTCAAACGCGAGTTTTGAGCAGTGTAGAGTAGCGGCTCAGTTTAACAGATAACCAGCCAGTCATCCTGTACCATACCTCTGAAAACAGCCGCTCTGACTGACCCATATTGAGCCTATGTTATGCTAACCATTTTTACAGCTTGACTTAAATTTTGCATCGCTATCATGAATAATAAAGCTGCATAACATGTTTGTGTTTGCATTTGTAATTATACATTTATTTTATATTTTAACATTTATCCAGCTATTATGTTAACCTTGTCGGGTAACCTAATAATTTCTCTCTAAAAACATAGTAGGTAGGGGGGCATTGCAGACACAAGCTTATCAAGGCGTTATGCATTACTATTTTTAAACTCTTAAGAAGGGCCATGATGGGTTTAAGACGACAGGTGGACATGTTTCTATTGCTGCTGAGTTACATCACTTTATGGGAGCATTATCCCAACACCTCACCGGCAGCCTGTCATGAGTTGTTGGTCTATAAGAATGGAAGTGCAAAATGTTCTTTTTAATCTGCATTCAAGAAACATATTAACAACTTACAGAAAGAAAGAAGATTTGCACCATTTTTCTTGTTTTAGATGTGCTAGATTGCACCATTTTGTTGTTTTCAGCCCATTCCTAGATGGATTTGCTGAAAGCCTCTTGTTGTAGCCAAACAGAAAGATTGCGTGGTGAATACTGATCTCAAGGAATGAATTATTACAGCAATGCACACAAAAAGCACCTTCATTTCCTAAATGGCAAATGACAGCACTGAGAATTCAACACATACTGGAGTGAATTACACTTACATTTCTTACCATTCAATAAATAACTAGAATAGAAGACCCTGATTAATTTTTACACCCCATATGAGAGCTGTCTTTGCTTCCTGTTAACAGACAGGAACAGACTGTTTGAACAAACTGTAACAGGCTCAGTTTAACAGATAACCAGCCAGTCATCCTGTACCATACCTCTGAAAACAGCCGCTCTGACTGACCCATATTGAGCCTATGTTATGCTAACCATTTTTACAGCTTGACTTAAATTTTGCATCGCTATCATGAATAATAAAGCTGCATAACATGTTTGTGTTTGCATTTGTAATTATACATTTATTTTATATTTTAACATTTATCCAGCTATTATGTTAACCTTGTCGGGTAACCTAATAATTTCTCTCTAAAAACATAGTAGGTAGGGGGGCATTGCAGACACAAGCTTATCAAGGCGTTATGCATTACTATTTTTAAACTCTTAAGAAGGGCCATGATGGGTTTAAGACGACAGGTGGACATGTTTCTATTGCTGCTGAGTTACATCACTTTATGGGAGCATTATCCCAACACCTCACCGGCAGCCTGTCATGAGTTGTTGGTCTATAAGAATGGAAGTGCAAAATGTTCTTTTTAATCTGCATTCAAGAATTCCTCATTTACCAGACATATTTATATATTTGTATGTATATATATTATATCAAATGGCGATTCAAGAAATTAAAAATATAAATATATCAATAAATACATTTATTTATAAGTAGCGCTGGGCAACGATTAATCAGGATTAATCGCAAACAAAAGAAAAGTTTTTGTTTATATATGTGTGTGTACTGTGTATATTTATTATGTATATATAAGACACACACTACAGTATATATTTTGAAAATATTTATAATTTATATTATATATAAATGTATTTAATATAAACAACATTTTTCTTAAATATATACATGCATGTGTGTGTATTTATATATACATAATAAATATACATAGTACACACACATATATTATGCATACAAAAACTTTTTTGGATGCGATTAATCATTGCCCAGCACTATTTATAAGTATATAATAACATATACTCTGTAAAAACGGAAATCGTACACCTATTTCTATCTTTTGACCATAAAAATTACTTCAGTCAACAGAAACTGAATACAGTAAAGTTGACTCAGTCATATTAAATAGTTTGATGTATTAATTATAAAAGCCATAAAACCAGTTAATTTCGATTTTAACATCAAAAGCACATATTTTCCTACCTGACATTTGTGTGTGCTACTAAATAATAATGCAAAACAACACAGTTCTGAAAACAGTGAATGAGAAGAAAATGCTCCAAAACTAGCAATTCATACATCAAAATATACCATGATATACCACCCATAACTGCTCAGATCACACATTTGACATCAAAGGGGATTAAATAAATGAAAGATATAAAAATATGAATAAATAATTATATATTTAAAATAAAAAATATTCTAAAAAACTGAAATTGTGCAGTTGGTAACTTCAGAGGCTATTTCTATCTGACTTAATGCATTAAAGTTGATTCAGTCTTATTAAAAAGTAGGTGACTCATAAAACCAGTTCATTTACATTTTTACCACAGTACAGAATACTAAATGATACTGCTAATGTCAATGAATTCTTCAAATCCTGGTTTAAATATTGCTCCTTAAAAAGTTATATTTTTAGAACAGCATGTTCTTAGTGTAATTATTTTTTAATTACACGTTATTAATATGTAATAATAATAATAATAATAACAATAATAATGCAATTGCATTATTATTATTATTACTATTAAATTAAAAATGTAAAATGACAGCAAAATACTGCACATTCCTTTCAGTACAGCAAGTCCCCCCTCTGTCTTTCCAGTGACATCACTGTGGTGTCCATAGGTGGAGCTGTCGAGGACAAAGAGAGAGGGACCACAGCCATAAGTTCTCCAGCTCACAGAACTCCACAAGAGACAGGAGATCCGGCAGAAGATCAACCCGTACGACACGATGATGATGATGGCACCAGCACAGACTCATCTGCTGCTCTAGAAAGCACATTTTTCAGATCTGTCTGCGTGACCACAAAGAAAAAGCCATTGGATGATAATCTGGGCGGATTTGCAGGACACTGAATGGAAGTAAATAGACAAGAAGAGGCGTAAAATACCAACGGGCGAGCGACTCATTCAACACCGAGCTCTTCTTTGGGTGCAACGTTTCGAGTCCACACCAGGATTTTGTTTCGTTGTAGACAACACATTGTGCACGAAAGGATCTGGATTTAGCAGTGGGAGAGTCTGGAAGCTCCGTTTTATTGAGCCATGAAGAAGAACGGTTCAACAAAGCGGGTAAGACGTCGAGTCAGTCCACTCTATTGTCAGTGAGGAGCGCCGCGAGCCTTTGTGCACTAGTATGACCACTGCAGCAAGTACACTTCAGCTTACTAAAACACCATTTAACAACATTTTGCAATACACCAATGCAGTACATGAATTATAATTATTTTATTTTAGCTGTAAATGTATAAATCGACAAGATATTATTTCGCACGCCTTTTTTGGAGGTAGTTTACCAGGCTTAAAATAGTGAAAGGAGTAATGCTGTTTTATATACGTTTAAATAAGTTTATCAAATATGTACTATACATGCATTAAACCATTTAAACTCAATTAAGAACTGATTTATTTTCATATCACATCAAAAATATACAGAACCCGATTGCTATAACCAGAAGCAGTAGGCTATTACAGTTTCTAGAAAACGGAATAAGACTGCTGGCATATTAAACAGACGTTTTACAATTCTTTTTAATTAGTCAGACTATAATTTAATATACGCATTTCCTAACAAATATGAATTATTAATACATCGAAAACATTCATTCTAAAGCCCCAAAAGGAAACTCCCAAGAGAACCCACGTTTGAAAAATGCTAGTTATCTTCTGGGACTACAAACTGAACACTTAACATGCACTATTAATGAGTTGATTCAATTACTGTCCAAAATGACTAGAAAGCATAATAAATGGCACATCCAATGTTTCCTGTCTAGACTAGCAGGTGAAGAATGGGCATGTTTCATATAGAATATGCCGATTATATGCATAAATAGCTGAGGAAAAGTCTTTTTTCTGAATAATAAACAGATTATGGATATTGCTCACTCGGTCTGTGAGATCAGTGTAATAGAAATACATTTTTCTTGCCAGTATTGTGCATGTACACAGCCTTTTCTCATCACACTCAGTTTAGACTGCAAGATCCCAGCTCAGGTAAAAGGTTGAGGAAACACTGGTGTGTGTATGTGCATGTGCTGTGTGAGAAAAAAGTGAGTGAGTGCCAGGAATGTGATATGATCTACATGACAAAGACAATGACATGGTCTTTAAGAAAGTCTCCCCCTCTCTAGAGACTATGACTGTGGCTCAAAACCTAGTGAACTGCCTTCCTAGACAGCATAATGTGCATTATCGACCTGCAAAGGCCTAGAAATGCTGTTTAGGCTTTGAAATGCAGACAATTAGATCATAACCAACTGGAAACCTTAAGTCTCACTGGCATGTCTCTAATTTCTCTCTGTAAACACAGGGCCCTCAGGACGCCAATCAACAGCCCATGCAGCCCGACAAAACTGGCTGGATTCGCAAGTTCTGTGGCAAAGGAATTTTCAGGGAAATTTGGAAAAACAGATTTGTTATACTGAAAGGAGACCAACTCTACATTTCTGAAAAAGAGGTTAGTTTTGGACAAATAGTTTTTTTCACTCTTTATGCTTTTCTCCACATCATCATCATTTGATTGATGATATGCTACTTGTGTAACATGCTTACAATGATATTTAGTACTACTTTCGGTGTGAGAAAGAAAGAAATCTGCTCCAGTTGCTTAACGGCATAGATGGGTTACATGACATGTCCTCATCTCTGAAAACCATAACAAAACTACACAAAGTAAAAAAAATAATAATACAATCCACACTGCAATATAAGAATACACTTCCAATGCAGATAAATTTATTAAAATTCAAAATAGTTTTTTTCACTCTTTATGCTTTTCTCCACATCATCATCATTTGATTGATGATATGCTACTTGTGTAACATGCTTACAATGATATTTAGTACTACTTTCGGTGTGAGAAAGAAAGAAATCTGCTCCAGTTGCTTAACGGCATAGATGGGTTACATGACATGTCCTCATCTCTGAAAACCATAACAAAACTACACGAAGTAAAAAAAAAATAATACAATCCACACTGCAATATAAGAATACACTTCCAATGCAGATAAATTTATTAAAATTCAGGCGACACAAAGAAACCCATCACTCAAACTAAACTGTCATTTTTCCAATTTTCCAGCCTATGCAGTCCATGGTAATAATACATTTTTTTTCTGATTTGTTTTCTGGTTTTCTGATTACTGATTACATAACTGTCATGTGTATAATTGCTCAGTGAAAATAGAGATTCAGGCTGTTCACATTTTCTTAAAGGGGTCATATGATGCTTTTTTAAAGATCATTATTTTGTGTATTTGGTGTAACAGAATATGTTGACATGCTTTAATGTTCAAAAAACACATTATTTTTCAAATACTGTACATTATTGTAGGTCCTATATGCCCCGCCTCTCTCAAACGCTTAGTTTTCTACAAAGTCCCTCCTTCCGACAAGAGCAGTCTGCTCTGATTGGCCAGCTGACCCAGCGCATTGTGATTGGCCGAACACCGCAAGCACTCGTCAGAAATGTAACGCCCCTTACCATAATCGCGAGCTTCATCTTTCAAAATAAATGTAAAGACAGAGCCCGAAAGGAGAACAGAGTCACGTGACAGACACAGTAATGATGCAGTACACAAGCCGCGGTTAAGACAGCTGACTCTACTGTGATGTGAAGCTGTCTCTCTCTCTCTCTCTCTCTCACACACACACACACACACACACACACACAGTGGCAGAGTCTTAACTTTGATAAAGAATATCTCTTTGGTTTTGAGACTTTAGTCTTTGCAACTTCAGGGATCTTATCTATGCACAATCAGCTTGTAACACTCCAAAGAGAAAGGAAAGCTTGAAATCGCATCATATGACCCCTTTAATATTAACAAATAATATTAAAAAAAAAACATCAACCAAGTCAAACAGCATGAGGTTTATCTTATGCATAACATATGCAGAGGGGGAAAAAAAATAAATATTACAGGAGCACTTATGGGTTTAATTTTCAGGGAAATTTGGAAAAGCAGATTCGTTATACTGAAAGGACAGCAACTCTACATTTCTGAAAGAGAGGTTAGTTTTGGACAAACCTTTTTTTCTCTTAATGCTTTTCTCCACATCTTCATTTGATTGATGAGATGCTACTTGTGTAACATGCTTACAATGATATTCAGTACTGCTTTCAGTGTGAAAAAGTATGAAATGTGTTCCAGTTGCGTAAAGGCATAGATGGGATATGTGACATTCCCTCATCTTTGAAAACCATAACAAAACTATACAAAGTAAAAGAAAGCACAATCCACACTGCAATATAAGGGTACACTTCCAATGCAGATAAACATGTATTAAAATTCAGAAGACATGTAGTTAAGCCAAAAATAAAAATTCTGTCATCATTTACTCATGTCGTGCCTTTCAAAACCCACATGACTTTTTCTTCATTGGAAAGGAGAAGTTTATGAGAATGAAAGTAGATGGCAAACAGGAACTGTCAATCTCCAAAAAGGACAAAAAAAAGCTTCATAAAACATAAAAGTAGTCCATACAACTCATTATTCTTCTTCATTGTATGAAAAAAACTGCAGTTTGGACTTTCGACAAAAAAACTCAATAAATAAACTATCCCTTTATTATCCTGCTCTGCTCAGGTCAGGCTTGCTGTGGTACACAGAGCTGTGTCTTACAGTGTTAACACCTTTATTCAATTGCAGACATTGTTCTGGAATTAGAGCCGGATGTGCTGAAAGGCCAAACATGATGAGATAAACATGTAAACATTCACTTGGCTGACTGTCATTTCCAAGTCCAATGCACCACATACTGTCAGCGTGTGCCTGACATTATTGTGCCTTCCTGACATTGGGCCTGGATGAAGTGAAGGTTTAAAGAGAATTTTAACAAGTTCAGCAAGCATGAAGGAATAGGAAAATAAAGGGCCTTTATTCAGGAACGAGGCTGATTTACTGCAGTGTGGGAGGACGAAGGGAAGTAAAGCAGGATTGAGGTTGAGTCATGGTCACGCAGAAGACTGTTTGCTGTGCTCAGCATCAGATCAAACAATGCCGAGGCAGCATATGGGCTCTGGCTCACAGCTCAGAGGGAGGATTGACCCTTTTAGTGCTTAACAGACTGAGGTTTCATCATACTGTCGTCTAGATGTTTCTCTCCAGCTGTCTAGACAGACAACAGATTTTAATGATCCGATGCTGTTGTTTTGGTATCATGTTTCCTAATAGATAAATGCCAAAATGATTCTCATATTTATATGTTGGTCTGAAGATCCAAGCTTGAGGAGTTAAATATAGTTCTAAAACATATATACCATCAGGTATCTTGGCTTATACTATACATGTTTTTTTTTTAGAATTTTTATACAGTCCCCTAAGAGTTAAAGGGACAGTTCACCTAAAAATGAAAACACTGTCATCATTTACAAAACCCTGATATTGTTCCAAACACACATGACTTATTTCTGCAGCAACACGAACGGAGAATATTTGAAAAATTGTGATGATTGCACTTTCAATTAATAGGAATTAGGACTTTCAAGCTTACAAAAGGTACAATAAAAGTATCAAAAATAATGAAATGTAGACAACTTTCAAAAATGTACCATGATAACTGTAGTTTTTGCCAAAAATACCATAGTTAGCTACAGCAAAATTACTACAATATTACTGATGGTCTCAACAAACATAAATTAAACTGACAGAACGATTCTAAAAGTACCCATATTAATGGCAACCAACTTACATTTTGGATTTTTATTTTGGTGATACTTGCCTGTGGAAAAACTAGCTGCCATGCCAGGGAGATGTAGGTGGTTACATCAACAAAGAGAAGTCTGTTGTTTCACTGGAGGATTTATGAATTATGAAAAAACATGTTGAACACATGCTGAATTGGTCACAGAAAGATCAAACCTGCATTTAGAACATTTACATTTAATGCTGACTTTAATGGCCAAATAAGTTTTCTACATAATGCTCAGGCCCCTCTTTTAATGTACATTTATTTGCACATTTTATTATCTACCAGGTATAAATTGCTTTGAGAAGTATAAGCATGCCTCTTCAACAAACTCAACAAAAATTTGAGGTATCTGCAGCGTTAAGGGCTAAAGTATGAGCAATGGCAACAGCAAGCACCACTGGCCGTTCATTGTATGTGATTCCGCTTAAATGAAATTGACATATTCGAGTCAGATGATAGTAGATTGAAGGGTGGCAGTAAACTGAATGTGAGAATGTGTCCAGCAAAACTCTTCCAGAACAGCTCACAGGAGCAGATGTCACGCGAGTGTTGTTCGTGGTCAGATTCCTGGCCGCTGATGTGGCAGATGTAGGGAGAGTAGGAGAGCTTTTTCCCACTCACCCAGGACTGTCTTCACATTTACACACTCATTCTGGTACATTTCTCTCTCACAATCTAAACTTTAATCAGGTGTAATTTCCTGTCTTTGTTTGTTCTGCTTACACTAAATGGCATCTACCAGAACTTCAACATGAAAGTAGAAGACGACAAGAGCTGTCTGTCTGTCTTCTTTTTGCCTTCTCAAGCCCAAATAAGGAAGCTGTGGTCTTCATCTATTTTGAAAGTATCTTATGTTGCTCTTCTGCTTTTTGAAGTCATATGCATAGATGGTAGTCATGGGTGTAATGGCCACAACTTGTTCCTCTTTACGCTGATCTTTTCCTTTTTGCTCATCTACTTTGCCTAAAATGATGGCATTAAAAGTGCATTGAAGTCATAGTCCTTCTATTAGGGTGACTCACAATTAGTATCCACCCTAAACAGAAACAGCCTTGTCAATTTCATTATGACACTACAATATTCCACCTTTGTTTTTTTCACATCATAATTAGCCAAGTGCTTGAATTAGTTCATGCATCCCATTTATCTCACTCCAGTTTAGATGTCATATTAGTACATATGCTTTGCACTCCCTAATAAAGAGATCTGCAGATGTGCTGAATTATTCAAACAGTGTGAATTAGTGCAAACGGAAAACATAATAAAACGATGAGATCATGCAGTGCAATAGTAAAAGTAACATGTCTATAGACTTCATTGTATACATTATATGCACAAATACTCACGGAAAAAATGTGTGAATTTTTCTTTTTACAACTGCCGGCATCGTTCTCTAGGGTGATGGGGTGCAGTCGGCCAGCTACATTTACACAAGCAGAGTCGCAAATGAAATCGACGGATGAATCATTTCACAGGTCAGGGCCTGGCACAGCTCTGACTCACTTGCTGGAAAGCGAGATCAGTGGAGGATGTCGTGCCCTGTATAGTCATCAAACCATTTCTTCTCCGTCTGGTTTCTTTAGGTGTTTTCTTCTGTTCCGCAAAGTATCAGATGGGATCTTGGTCACACCATGTCAGATGATTATTACTGCAATTGGAAGTTGTTTCAAAGAATTTGAAAGGACGGCAGAGAAAAATCCTCCAAGTTGCAGGCTGGTTTTACTCTGGAACAGCAGTTTGCAAAATAGCATCAGGAAGTTCAAAATGAGAAGCTTGTTGGACTGGACTCAAATTATAAACTGTACAACAGTGGCTCTAAACTAAAAAATATTTAGGAAAAAATTATAATACAGCAAAATGGGCTTTTAAAGAGAGGAAAACGGTTTGTTGTTACTGTCAAAGGCCTTGCAGTTTTGTTGGATGTAGTTTGTGGTGATATGAATAAATTTTTTGCACTGTGTTTGGTCACAACTTGACGTCCAAAAGCAAAACTAGATGAAAACCACTGTGCTAAAAGTCAGAGAGGAAACACCTTCAAACTGTCTTTTGTTGGTTTGTAACTGCTGATTGTCAACGTGTAGCTCGGCCTTCCTTCCCTCACCTGGCCAAGCAAACATGCTGCATTTAACCCTAAGATCTCTCCTGCAGCTTTTTGAATTTGGTCGTACCATTCAGAGATTTCCACTTAAACACTTTGCAATTAATTTTTCATGTGTGGGCCGTTGGGACACATTGCCGAGGAGTATTCATTTCAAATTCCTCTTCAGGGTATTTGGCTTTTCTGATATACCCTCTCAGCTGCAATGTTTTGTGACCCTAATGGACGTTTATAAAAGGTTAGACCGGTTAATGGAGAAAGTAAATATGAATTTGAATAGCGAAATTCCATTCAGATGGAACTTGACCAGTCCTTTGAAAGACAGTGAAACACGAAACGATGGCTGCTCATCTCTGAATGATCCACCTGGCCTCAGACTGAAACAAAAGGACACCTGAACAGGAAATTCTCCAGTTGATTTGTTGAATAACATGAATACGAATACACACTGGAAATGGTGCATGTGAGCAACAAGAAAATGTTAACAAACAAAAAAAAACAGCAAACCGTAAAACCTTTTTTTCCTGTGGCTAATTCAAGTTAAGCTCTAAACTGCTGGCAATAGCATGATGTCAAAAATAATGTTGACTCGTATGACACAGAGGACTGAGTAATGGCTGCTGACCCCAAACTTTTTAACAATAGTGTACAATGGAAGTCCAAGTGGAATTGGAAAATTAGAGCATTTAGACTTTTAACTTCTTTAGTACATCCACTTTTCTCTGGATTCAGTTGATTTCCTTCCTACATTTTGTTCTTTGAATATCCTGTTTCAGTCTGATGAAACATTTGTGAACAGCAGTTTTGTGGCAATATTTGAGAAACATGCTCCATTGACTTCCATTATAAGTGCATCGATGTAAACACAAATTTGTGCCAAAATGGTTTTCTGTAGTACTCAACAGCACAGATGCTATTTGTAGAGCTCAAGTTTTTTTGAACCTGGATCATTTCTGTAACCTCACACACAACAAAAATATTGTTTACAGCTCCAGACAGCTTTAGTTACATAACAGAAAGTAGCTTGATTACAGAGTACATTTTAAACAGCCTCGCAAAACTGTGAAATTATTCTCTCAGTAGTACTTCTCTGTCCCTTCACTCTTTCTGTTGAGAAGCACAAGGTTTGGCAAACAATTTTCTCTAGCTTTCTTTTGGTTGTTTAAGATGCTATTTTGAGCTATTCACACTGTATGTGTGTGCATCTCCTCTGCAAAATAATGCGTCTGTTTAAAGCTTAATGTACACAATATTAAATATAGATGATGCTCTTTATTTGCAGTTAAAAAGGTAAAGGCGAAAATTGGCTTGTTGCTCAAGCATCTGCCAGTTCTTATTTAAAGAGGCAGTTTCAAATGTTATGAAATCCAAATAATGGTGTCAGATTCATATACAACCACTTAATTAGACTGCACCTACTCAGTTTAAAGGAGCAAAGAGCATAACTACAAAAGTAGTAGTGTAGTTCACATTCATTCAATGAATTTAACCACTAAAGTATTCTATATTCTGTGTGATCTCAGATTACAGATTACTTTTACTGTGCCTGATTTGTCATCAGATATATCAGGGTCATTTTACAAGTAATGACGGTGAAATATCCAAATCTTATTGTGGTATCAAACACTTTTTTTTAACTTCAGATGATTTCTATACCTCACTTCTATGCCTCATTTTCATTCACTATAGTGCATTGTAAATCATAACAGCATACTTCAGTATTTTCTTGAATCTAGTTGTATTGAGGAGTTCTTAATGTCCGGTATTGAGTGCAAATACTGTGTACTGTGCCCCAACTGTCCTCTCCTGGAAAAAAGGATGGGATCAGATTGCTAGTTAATTGCTGCCTTTGTACTGCTGGAACAGTAGATGTACTATTTGTACAGCCATTCCCTGTCGTGACACCCCGTAGTGCACTGGGTGTGATGCCAATCTCTTAAGTACTGCACTATAGAGCGGCTCTGTAGTACAGAACACAACCAGATGTGTGCTTGCATGCATAGACAGCGTTTTTTGTCTTTAGTAGAACGCTAATGGAAATTGATTGTGACTTAATGAGAACGTTTGGCAGGTGATAGCAAATCAGACCATGGTGTTCACTGGGAATCCGGGTTATTACAGCTCCAGACAGCTTTAGTTACATAACAGAAAGTAGCTTGATTACAGAGTACATTTTAAACAGCCTCGCAAAACTGTGAAATTATTCTCTCAGTAGTACTTCTCTGTCCCTTCACTCTTTCTGTTGAGAAGCACAAGGTTTGGCAAACAATTTTCTCTAGCTTTCTTTTGGTTGTTTAAGATGCTATTTTGAGCTATTCACACTGTATGTGTGTGCATCTCCTCTGCAAAATAATGCGTCTGTTTAAAGCTTAATGTACACAATATTAAATATAGATGATGCTCTTTATTTGCAGTTAAAAAGGTAATTAAGGCGAAAATTGGCTTGTTGCTCAAGCATCTGCCAGTTCTTATTTAAAGAAGCAGTTTCAAATGTTATGAAAAATTCTGGACACACTGGGCAGTAAAAATGTTCATTTTAAATTAGCTTTTGTTGGGAATAATTAAGCAAATTACATTTATTTTCTAATTTCTACATAGTCTACAAAAATTGCACCACCACACATTCAGAGTACAAAAGTACAAAAAATATTATTATTAATGATTTTTATATAATATTGATGATTAATAAGATGATTTCTATACCTCACTTCTATGCCTCATTTTCATTCACTATAGTGCATTGTAAGTCATAACAGCATACTTCAGTATTTTCTTCAGAATCTAGTTGTATTGAGGAGTTCTTAATGTCCGGTATTGAGTGCAAATACTGTGTACTGTGCCCCAACTGTCCTCTCCTGGAAAAAAGGATGGGATCAGATTGCTAGTTAATTGCTGCCTTTGTACTGCTGGAACAGTAGATGTACTATTTGTACAGCCATTCCCTGTCGTGACACCCCGTAGTGCATTGGGTGTGATGCCAATCTCTTAAGTACTGCACTATAGAGTGGCTCTGTAGTACAGAACACAACCAGATGTGTGCTTGCGTGCATAGACAGCGTTTTTTGTCTTTAGTAGAACGCTAATGGAAATTGATTGTGACTTAATGAGAACGTTTGGCAGGTGATAGCAAATCAGACCATGGTGTTCACTGGGAATCCGGGTTAAAAGGTTCTCTTCTTCCATGTTTGGAGTGGACCAATGATATTTTGGAGCTACGTTTTGAGGTCTCTCCTAGTTTAAAGTTAGTGTCATTAGTCATTCAGATGCCCTTAACAATTGTGACCGCACCAACTAGACTAAACCAAACACTGACCTCAAACACATCATACACCTTTCAAATGCTGTGCTGTTGTTTTTTTTCCCCTTAAAAAAATTCTGGACACACTGGGCAGTAAAAATGTTCATTTTAAATTAGCTTTTGTTGGGAATAATTAAGCAAATTACATTTATTTTCTAATTTCTACATAGTCTACAAAAATTGCACCACCACACATTCAGAGTCATGATTTTTATATAATATTGATGATTAATAATTAAATAAAAATAAACTATTATTAGTATTAATCAATATTTTTTGTCAAACAAACTACTAAAATCACCCCTTAAAGTTATTTAAGAACAAATACATAAATATTGAGATGTATGTAATCGAACAAATTTAAAGCACAGTATTAAAACCAAATCTGTACTTTCTACAGGTCAAAGATGAGAAGAAAATCCAGGAGGTGGCGGATCTCACCGACTACGAGAGGTCTGAAGAACTTCGCAAGGCCAAAAGCAGGAGCAAAAAGAATCACAGCAAGTTCACGCTTCTGCGTTCACGGCAGCCAGGCAACAAGGTCAGTCTCTACAGGAAGTTGGGTTTCACAGCAGAGCATAATAGCTAATGGCTTTATGTCTCAGTCAGCACTAGAGCACTGCTGGGCTGCTTCATTAGTCAGTTTGCAGTCATGCTGTGAGACAGTGATCACCTGTTGCACAACTCAAAGATCTGTGTCTCTACATACATTCAAACATATTAGAGTAAAAAGAAATTAAACAGGAATAAAAAAAAGGGGTTTTGACTGGTTATTCGTTCATACAGAAAGTATTCAAACTAGGGCTGGGCGATATGATGATATATATCGGATGGACGAAATGAAAAGTCTGTCGTTTCATATTATGCTCTATCAAAACTTCATGTTTGCACGCGTTTTTAAGCACTGCAGTTTAAAACAACTGATTTTAGGCCGCTGAAACACAAACAACAGAGCTAACGTTATATGCGCGCGCTGTCTCTGTTTCTGTGTGAGAGGAGCGCGTAAGCTGCGCATCAGCTGCTAATAGAGCTCGTGAGCATTTTTGCCGCGTTATTGGCTTTGAACGATTGCATAAACGCGGATATTTTTTGTTTGAGTATCGCGTCAGTATCGATATATCGATACTTTGTATCGATACGCCCATCCCTAACGGGGATGCAGGCAGAAATGCGCGCTCACGTCACGTTGCTGTGCGCGTGGTAACTTAATTAAAACTTTTTAAAACATTAAAACTTCATGCGTTCACGCGTTTTTAAGCACTGCAGTTTAAAACAACTGATTTTAGGCCGCTGAAACACAAACAACAGAGCTAACGTTATATAAAGCGAAAATGATTCCAATTCCCCGGCTTTGCAAGTAGCCTATCCTCATAAACACAGCCATTTAGGTCTTAAGGGAACGTAAACAGTTGCAAGAGAAAACGCATGTGTAACTGTATATTGGATCCGGACTTCGGTCTTAAAGGGGAAGTTGTCCAATATTCGTTCTGTCTGCCATTCATGTTAATCAAACAACAGTGAGAGAAAATCTCTCACTGCTCTTGACTAAATCACTTTTGTAACTAGAATAAGAAGAAAATAAATAAATAAATAATGATAATGCTAATAATTATGCATATATATATATATGGATAGATAGATAGATATAACTTACACAGTGAAGACTAATTTACAATGTATTTCTTATTTATTGAAGTTTTTTGTCCTATTGCTTGTCATTAGTTTCTTATCCTTATTTCATCACTGACTGTTTATTTATCTCCAGTGAGCTTGAGATTTTTTTTTAATTATTTTCTTGTATTAGTTTGATATCGACATTGGTGACAAGGATAATGAAAATTCTATGGTATAAAAGATTTTAATATCATAAAAACCTTATTAAAAGAAAAAAAAACTATATTGTGATATATATCGTTATCGTGATATAAAATTACTCATACCGTGATACAAGATTTTGGTCATATCGCCCACCCCTAATTCAAACTGCTTTTGTACTTTGAACAGGACAATTCAAGAGTCACACCTGTTTGTAAACACGGTTTTCGATACCAAACACTGACTGTGTGAACGCAGCCATTAAGTCTCAAGTCTAAGACAATATTAGACAATAAATCGTACTCCAGCATAGTTGGCACGCCGGTCTCTAAGCACAAACTTGGACCGACCTCTGTAGTCATCCTATCCTGAGTAATTGGCTTTCAGTAAGAACGGCTCAGCTTATTGCTTTCACTAGCACACCACAGGCCGCCATGAATATCCTTCATCCTTTAGACCAACACAAATAGTACATCTTACCAATTGTGTTAAGGCTCCTTGTTTCTTAAAGGCAAGGTATGTGTGTTTTTTTTATGTTCATTCTGTCTCCAATTAATGCAGAGACTATAAGTTAACTCTCTATCCATCCATCCATCCATAAACCTACAAACTTTGAGGCTTCTTGAACTTTGTCAGAGCTTGATTTTTTTCAAAGCCAGCATTCAAAGTCACGACAAACTTTATTTTTCTATAAAAAAAAATCAAATTCATTTTAATTCTGCTTTCTGACATTAAATTCAAATTGCAATTCAGCATCCTGTTTGCTACCTTAATTAAAAATCAGTACAAATTCAGGAATTTACAAGGCATTTTCAACTCAGTTCTGAATCAAACAAATTCTGATCATTCTGAAAATGATCTCCTGGCTCAACTAATTGTGCGAGTATGGGAGAATCTGTAGAGAAGCAAAAATCATTTTTGCAATTCGATTCCAATTTGCAATTGGAAAATTAAATGTTTTATATATAATTTTATTGCCACCTCTCCTGAAATGCGTTTTTGAATCAGTATCAGTCCTTTTAGAAGTCTGCAGTTACAAATACAAAGTAGAAGTCTAGTTATGTAGCTTTTTCTGGTTGTCTAGACTCTTGTCTAGAACACATTTTTAGGATTTCTGATGAAACATTAGGGGTTACGTCTGACCAATCCTTTAAAATCCAGCGCTGAGACAAGGGGTTAATCCCCAGGAAACAAACATGGAGGGTCTTAGGAAAATCCAGCAGCAGCCACCCTCCCTCCCAAACCCACAGAAACACAGCACTGCATGGTTAATAAGTCCCTCTGCCCCACATACAACAGCTGTTCCACATGCAGCTCAACAGGGGAGACACCCTAATACATGACCTCATGAAAATCATCATCTTTCTGCTCTTTTCTCTCGCCTGCCTCTTTTTTGCATCTTTAAAAACAGACTACCTAATTTTCATTACCAAAGAATTCAAAAGCCTTACAGAAACCATCTTCTACATATTTATAGCATTATATTTTACCCCCGAGATCCACCTATGAAGCAAGTCAAGTTTTCTTGGACCCAATCTGTTTTAAATAACATTTACTAAACTATTTTTGCTGTTGTAAGAATTTCACCTAGCAACCAACCAAAACACTTAGCAACAACACTAAAAACATTCTGAACACCTTAGAAATCACATAACAATGCACCGGAATGTCTGGTTTTGCATCAGACAAGCACCACCAATGTAAAAAAAAATCTTGATTATTTGATCAAAAATACAGTTAAAACAGTAATATTTCAATGTTTTCTATTTTAATATAATTTTAAATGTAATTTATTCATTTTGTCAGCAGCAATTACTCCAGTTTTCAGTGTCACGTGGTCCTTCAGAAATCAGCTGAATTTGCTGCTCAAGAAGCATTTCTTATTATTATCAGTGTTGAAAACAGTTGTGCTGCTTAATATTTTTGTGGAAACCGTGAAACATTTTTTTTCTTCAGAATTCTTTAAAAAACAGTATTTATTTGAAATAGTAAACATTTGTTACATTATAAATGTATTTACTGTCACTTTTAATCAATTGGATGTATTTATGCTGAACAAAAGTATTAATTTGTTTTAGAAATAAATAATTTTGACCCCAAATAATAAAATAAAGACTGCAGCAATCAGACCGACAAGGTGTTTTCTGTTTCCCACGATATGTCCCCTTTAATGGTCAAAGTGATTTGCCAACAACAGTACAAATGCGTAGCATAGGGCGCATAGCAGTGTCTTATCTACACAGCTGCAGCATCAACAGAAGGGCCGCCTGTCACGGCTCCAGCAGACTGTGTTTGGACGGCTTGCAGTGTTGTTGCCTAATATGGTGGTTTCTGCCTCACGCTGTTGCTGCATCAGCTGTCCATAGACATAGCCATATGGCCATACCTGCTCATTTATGCTTGGCTCGCTACATGTTTCTGTCCGCCTAGCACAAGACTGAAGGAATTTTCACCACGTGTGTAGGCGTAAAATGAAAAGCCAACAGGGTTCAGGGCATATTGGTCATACATCAAACTGTGTTTGCTCTGTGCTTGGATGTGCAGCACACTATATTAAAGTTTCTCTCATCTGCCACATGCAGGTCCCAAATCTGGTGTTTTTGGCTGTCAGTCCAGAAGAGAAGGAGTCATGGATCAATGCATTAAATGCAGCCATCACTAGGGCCAAGAATCGCATATTGGACGAGGTAAGCTAGACATTTCCATATCTTTGCATATACCAGTGCTGCATGCTATTAATTATTTACAACCAGAACGCAAGTTAGCAATGCATTGACCAGTCAATCGTATTTCGTACACTTCCATTAAGTAGGTTTCTGAGCGTACGGTTAGGCATTTAAGCAACCATCCCAAAAACTCTAGCATAGCAACATCTGAGCACCGTAGGAACTACATAGCAATGCTCAGACAACCTCCCACAACACCCTAGCAGCAATTAGCATAGACAAGCACCACTCCAATTTCTTCAAAAAATGTGAAATCACAGATTGTCATTCACAGGTCCTTGGAGGAGCCACTTTTATGAAAGCTTCTAATCACAAAGTTTCCTGCCCTCTCATTCCCTGATCTTTTCACAGTTTGTTTGCGAAGGGATTTGCTCAATTTAAAAGCGGGTCTATAATCACGCTCGGCACACAGTGGGAGAAAATGAATCACTCCGCCAAAAATAGTTGGTAGTCACGACTTTCAGCGTTAAAGCAGCCAGATCAGAGCCTATCTTCACCTTCAGCTTCCGATAATGAACAAGCTTTAATCTGGCCTAAGCTGTCGGTGTCCTCCACATTTCGTGGGGACCAGGTCATTGTTTGGGACCGTAAAAATACACACAGGTGTTTCAAGTAGGCTGCCTACGACACAGCACACCCAGTGTACTAGATATTCATTTACATAAACCAGAGAGACCATGTGCTTTCCTTTTCACATGTCAATGTGGTGTGATTCATACCCTACATAGTTAAATAGGCGAGATCTCTCATACCACTCAACAGGAGAGGAAACAGACGAGTCAGCACTCGATAATAGCCGGTTATGTTGTGAGATCTTCTGTTGAAGCTTACTAGACACTGTTGTTATAGCTATTCAGTATACCAATTTAAAAATGAGAGAATTGTACTAATATGTCACATTATTCTTTTTAGGGTTGTCACAATACCAACATTCACATAGTTCATACAAATACTTGCACAGTTTCACAATACTACGACAAAACCTAAAATGCTATTTTTTTATATTAAATATTAACAAATTAAAAAATGTAGTCTTCAAATATGGATCAAATCATTAAATAAATATTGCTAATGAAGAAAGACCTAATAATGATAAAAGGGTCTTTTGCATTTGCATATTTTTTTACAATGCCGGGTATTGATTCAAAGTCAATTCAATTCCACTAGACCTTAGTGAGGGAAGCACCATATTTCATTTCCGACAGGAATGAAAATGAGCCTGTGAGGGATAGAAAAACAGTATGTTCAATAGATGCTGTTGTTCAGCTGACGAAATGTCAGTGTTTTCAACAATAACTTTCCGTTTTGAAAGTTTCTGTTGACTAAGGTCTAGCTTTTGATTCTATTTGATTTTGATGTTATTCTATAATTATTAATTTAACAGGCATGCTTCAATTATTTCGATCTCTTGTGGAATTAAAAGTGACAGAGAAACCAGTTGCACACCAGGATTCGCAACTGACTCGCCAACATCTATAAAGACATTAAAGACGGCGTGCTACAGTTGTTTTGCATTATTTTCCATGCATCAAAGGAAAACACATATATCAAAAGAGCAATCGATCTTGGCATTTTAAGAATCAATATCGGCCATATTCTTTTTCTGATCTGCTTGGTTTGGTTTTGCAAATTATAGTTTGTCAATGCGCTGCTTATCTGTTGCCAAGCACTGCTGCATGTTACAAGTATGAGAAATGTGTAGGCAGGTTTAGTGACTACTAGACTACTAGAAACAAAAAAAATATATGTTGTTTGTGGCATTCACTAGCCACAAACAACACAATTCACAAATACATACAAGAACTTTACATATTCTGAAGCTTGTGAGAAACTCATCACCACCACAAGTAGGGTAGGGGTAGGGTACAGGAAGCAGTCACTATGTTGGTCACCCGTCATCCAGTGTTGCTAGTTGGTTGGTATAGTGTTCCAAGAGTGATCTAGGGGCTTTCTTAGTGACTGTAGCACAAACAAAGCAATACGAGTAACATACAAAATTTTAATACTTAGAATTTAAAGATTAGAAGAGATTGCTTCAACGTACACCATTAATAATTATATGTTAAAAGCTCAAGTCAAAAAATACAGATATTATAGGCAACAAAGAAAATCTTCTAAACCAATATTTTTGTTGTTTACCACCCCTCCCTTAGTCCATAAACCCTGACCAAACACAGTAAGATTAGCCGTACACTCCTGGCCAACAAACAAAAGCCATCTCAGAACACACAGTCTTGGATTTGAGCATTTACAGCATAAGCTTTCTCGTAAACAATAGGCTGTACTGACATTTTTGATTCAGAACAAATTCTAAGATTATTCCCTTGTAAGACCATTTTGCCCAAAACTCAAACAATCATCCACTCTGCCGAACTGCTTGTGTCATTATTTGTACATCACATACAAATAATAAACAGACCCATTGACTGGTTGATCAATATACTGGCTCTCCTCCTGCAGGCTTGCGTGAGACATGTAGCTGCTGCTAGTTTCTATCTGACTGATTTGTTCAGTTGGGCTTCATTTCCAGCGCTCTTTGTCCGACCCCTTTTAGGTGACAGTGGAAGAGGACAGCTTGTTGGCCCATCCGACGCGTGACAGAGCTAAGATACCCCATACTCGCCGTCTGCCCACCCGCGGGCACCTCATGGCTGTGGTAAGCAGTCCATTTGCTCTGAATATCATCTCATTAAATGTGAACGTCATTTTGGGAAAAGACTGGAATGATACATATGAAACAGTCCTTTAAGGTAACAAAGTGTGTAGATTATCAGATTTTACTGATAAAATACTTTCTCCTTCATACTTTTAGTTTTAGGACAATTTAGGGCCGAACAATAAGAATCTTTCTGCTTTCCAGGTCAGGCCAGTCCAGATTTCTACTTGCCCTGCCAACATTTTCATTAAAACAAACAAACAAACAAAAAACTATATTTTTATATATATTTGACAAAATTAGGTTTGCTTTTATAATTTTAAATAATTATAATTAAATATTACATTTATTATAATACTAAATAATCATTTAAAATATATAATTTATTATAATAAATCTTTTTCATAATTTATTATATTTTTTAATTTGCAGTAATAAATAAAAATGATGCATGAATTACAATTACACACAAAGCTTCAATAACATTCAAAAACCCTTTTGCTGAGATGATGGCATACATTAGTAAAAATGGGTTTGAAAATTACAAACCGATTATTACCGTTTTACTATTCTACCATAACCATCAATTTACAGTTACAGTAACTTATCTATGTTGGTCAGATCGATAATTTTACATCTTTCACATTAAATTTTACATGTTGTTGAGCCCTGCTTTTAAAGAAAGGTATACTTGAAGAATAAACAATGTGGCAGGACTTACACTCTTCACCTTTAAATATAATTTTAGTGCTGTCAAACGATTAATCGCATCCAAAATAAAAGTTTTTGTTTCCACAATATATATGTGTGTACTGTGTATTTTTATTATGCATATATAAACACACACACACATACAGTATATATATTGAAAATATTTACATGTATATATTTATATTCATATAATTTATATTATATATACATATATTTAATATATGAACATAACATTTTTCTATAGGCTATATATATATATGCATGCATGTGTGTGTATTTATACATAATAAAAATAAACAAACACCACACACATATATTATGTAAACAAAAACTTTTATTTTGGCTGCGATTAATCGTTTGACAGCACTATTTAATTTCAATTGTCATCACTATGAATGAAGCAGTTCGATTTTTGCATTTACCCTGCAGAAAGTCTTATGTCTAAAATCTCCCCACTTTTTCAGGCTTCTACCACAAACTCGGATGGCATGCTGACACTTGACCTCATCCAGGAAGAAGATGTCCCCTCCACACAGTGTCAGGACTCTCATGAGGATACCCTCGATAAAGCTGCTTCTCAGCGCACCCCAGATTCCCAGTGCTCCATCACGGACACCTCAAAGCTCTCAACCTGTAATGAGACTCCTGGAAAGTCCCAGAGTCTGCCACGAAAAAGCGAGAGCGCCTTCGACTGGTCAGAGAACCACAGGACGCCGCAGCTCAGCAAAAAAACGCCCACATCTGACAAGAACCGCTGCGCTTCCATGGATGAGATCCTGACGCACTGCGAGACGCGAGCACTCCCTCATTGCTCAACTTCGGCGCCCGTGCAGCCCATCAGCCAGCTCCAGGACCTCATCACCCAGAAGCTAGAAAGAACTCAAGAACTGCTGACGGAGGTACGGGTGCAGGGCAACGGGAAGGGCTCGCCGGCTGGGAAGAGCTCCAGTCTGGAGGGTCAGCGGATGGAGGCGGAGAGGCTTCTGGAGGAGGCGGCGTCCACTTGGGGACAGGCTCGTGACGTGCTGGAGGAAGTGAAAGAACTCAGAGCATTATACAAGCAGCTTGACTCCGCCTCTTCCGTCACACTCAGTCCTCCACAGAACGGCAAACTAAACAGCCCTCAACAAGCAAACCACCGGAAAAGCATGATGTGAGAACATACAAAGTCCTCCATGGCTTCATTTTTCAATAAACTCTTTCTGTTGACTGCTTTAGCATTGCTGGAATCAACAAAAAACGAATAACATGAGCTATACGTGTATGTATGAATTGTTAAAGAGCAAATCTAATTTCTTCCACTCCCTAATATCAGCGTCAGAGCAAAAATACGAGGGCCTGGTGGTTTTACCAAACACAAGCTGTTGCGTCGTACCCTGCGGTATCAATTTTCACAGTGACGTCGACAGGGACAGTAAAAGCACCGAGTCATCGAGCGGCCCATCAGGGTAGGACAGGGTGAGAAACACCAGACGGCGGTGATGTTGTTGTCATCACCAGCCAATCACAATGTGAATGTTTTCCTTCTGTTTCATAATACACTGGAGGAGCTTCGTTTCGAAATGGTCGCAGACCCCCAGGGTCATTTTTGTGCGTAATAATAATAATAATGCCCAGCACACTTGCTCTGCTGTTAGCACAAACCAAGCTCATAATAAGATGCAATCAGGGTGCAGCCAAAGGCAATTGGCGGGAACGATCACGGATAGGCGCTCAATATCCCGTCAGATGGGCTCTAATTGTGAACAAAGCCATGAACATGAACACAGATGACGTCTAGTGCCAGTGTTGCTGTGGAAAGTCAGCTGCCATTAAAGACGAGACTCCATGCAGTAAAGGAAACTATTAATAATAATTACACATTTGCACTATGGAGAATGCTGTAAAACGAGAGTGACACTGGCAAGCTATCTTTTCAAACCTAAGAGGCAGAACAGACAATCTACTGTAGGTAGGGAAACATGGGTCGTGTAGCTCCAAGTCTTTACACCTAAGTGGTATTTCTGAAAATATGTTGGTATCTCTCAAAATCAAAAGCTGCCTTAGTGTGTTTTCAAAAGGGCACATGCAAACTGCATTTCAAACTCTTCAAAGACTCTGAATGCTTGTATATTTTAATTTTCCAAAATTTCGCCTACAAGTTGTACCTCAAGAGAAGCTTTTAAAGCAGGTTTTTATTTGCTTGCGCTTTGCTTTGCAGGATTTATGTCTCTGGGGAACTATGCAAGGTTGCATGGGTGAAACTCACGAAATCGGTCAAGAGTCATATTTCATTCCAAAATTTCTTTGAGAAAAAGAAGAAATTGTGTTTTGTTTAAAGTACATGAAGCTTATTTGCTCATGTAATTTAGAAAGAAGTTTAATTTTATTTTTGTTCTTAATTTTTATGAAAATTAAGCACATTTCCCCACCCAGTTCTCATTACCGTAATCAATTTATTCTGATAAATGTAAAAAAAACATTTTATTGTTGTACTATAAAAATATGAATATAATAAATTACCAGTGCAAAACTGTCATAAAAAAGAAAAGTCATAAAGGAAAAAAATATAATTCATTTTCTTTATGCAATATATAATTTCTATCTTTTTTTCTTAATTTGGGTCTAAATTGTGACCCAGACAGGTTTAGTGAGATTCCCCCACACATAAGCTTGAAATAATCCACAGGTATCAGGATTTACTGGCAGTGTGCAGTACGGTATTGCGTTAGACGACCAAAGGGTATGTCTTGCCAGTATAAAACACCTTGTTTTACAGTTAGTAGCTAAATAATGTGTTTGCACAATTCTATGGGTACAGGTCAGCCTGTTCTGTTACGAAGACTTGATTATAAACAGTGTTATATTTTTTGTACATTTTATTGTAAAGTGCTTTTTTGTAGAGAAAGACTTTGAGGAGAGTTTTTGCTTTTTAAACGTTTGACTTAGAAAACCACTTCCCTGGAAACGCAACTCAACCGGACATTCCTTGCTTCTGGAATCTTGTCATAAAAAAAACTGTACATTTTCGCTTCCAAAGGTAATAAAGCACAAAGCCTATGGCAGTCTTTTAACTATACAAAATTGTATAGTTAATTGCTTTTATTCACTACCCCTCATATTTTAAGTTCTATTATTATTATATTATCGCCACACAGATGCCAAAGGTTTTCTGTACCTCATACAACTCTTATCTCAAACAGAGCAATGTTGTGTGATCTTTTCAGGTTTAATCAGATGAACTGGTTTTGTTTGGTCAGCTGGCTGTGTTATGATCTGATTTTTCTGACAGTGCCAGCGGAAGGTGAATCGAATTACCCGAGCATCTGTCAGGTAGCCAGGATCATATTAGGGTCATATTAGATTACATCAAAACCAATCCTGACATCTTATCCTATCACATAGAACAACAGATACAGAGCCAAATTATTCCTGTACATTGATAGTCATACATTAGTCATTTATGACACGTTTACTTTAGGTTGACATCATAAACAATGTAACTGCTTAGAGCTGATGTTTCATTCATGCTTTTTTGAACTATTTATGTATGCCATAAGATTGTTCACCTGTTGTCGCTATTTTTCTGAACTTCTGCAGACCTTTGATCAAATGTGAATGTGAATGAAGAGGAAAATCTCTCATTTGGCTCTTGACTGTGTTATTGTGGTCAGACTGGTAATTTTGCATAGGGATGTTGTATTTGTGAGCTAGTGCGTCAGTGCTAGACTGCCACTGGAAAAAAAAGTCTTATGTGATCACAAAGGAACAAACAATTGATTTTGCCTACTTCAAACGACAGAGTCTGGCTATTTTAAGGTTTATGTTAAAGACATGTACATTAATACAGAAGAAAACCTGAATGTTTTTGGAATTTTTCGATTCCATTATCCTCACAAACCCACAATCTCTCAGATGGACAGTTAGTTAGCTGCTGGTAAACAACTCAAGATACTCAAATGTCTTTTCTGCTCTTGCTAATCACATTTATATGGACAATTGTAAATCTTTGTGTACATTATTTCACATTTCTGTAGCTTATTGTAAATGGGGGTCAGTTTGCAGTGTGGAGAGCAGAACCTTGTCAATGGGTGTTTGTAAGCTCAGGACCGGCTAATCTCTGATGTACTTGAGACACAACCACTTGTGCAATTAAAGTGATCCTCATTCAACATCCCTGAATTCTGAGTGTTCATATCTTAACTGCAAAATGTAGCAAATTTTGTCTGACTTGCTTTACAAAATCTTAAATTTCATTAAAAATATTTGAAACACATGGGTAAATTAACCATCTCACTCTCTATAAAATACATTAAATCTTCCCGGAGCAGGTCTATACAGGTGGAGCTGGGGAAGGTGGAGGGTTTCTGAATTGCGCTGCAACTGCCACAGCTAGCACTAGCGAAGTATTTGAATGTTAAGCAGCAAGCTCATTGGCTGCTGATACGAAAATAATCAATCAGCTGCGCAATGTGAATAAAGATGACATTATATCAGACTAAGTTAGAACCTATTGGACTGCACCATCAAGAGTTTAATGACAGAACTTTGGATTATTAACAATTACACTTGTGTTCAAACCAACCGAGAAATTACCTAAAAAGTAAAATGAATTATTACTTGAAAATTAAATTGAATATACGTTTTTTCATGATTTATTTCATTAAATTAGTAATTATGACCACAGTTCTTTCATGATTTACACATTTACACTGAAATAAAGTAAACAACAAGAAAAACCCCACTGGTGCATATACTATACTGAGGGAGCTATAAGTACACAACAAAACTCAGGTGCTGCGTGCGCCAAACCGCATGTGGTCTGAAACTTAAGCAAACTGACAGACAAGTGACAGCAGAAGCCACTGATTGGCTATGAGCCCAGCAGGGTGTGTTGCCATGGCAGTAACGTTTCACCTAGTTAGGACTGTGTCAAGAGGTGTCAATGCATTCCTCACACCCCACACAGTGAAGTGAGAAGGCGTTACCAGGCTCATCCCAATCACAGAGCCTGTAGCTGTAGGACGTACCCTAGGAGTGCTTCATCTCAGAAAAGGGTTATTAAACCATTAAAAAAAATGTTACTTGAAACAAAACAAACGTTACCTGAAATATATTAAACAAAAGAAATCTCAGCTAGTTCTCATTTTCGTTTGGTTTAACGATGAGGAGCACTAAAATAACTAAAACTGAAATAAAATGAACAATGAATAAAAAAAAACTACAAGCATCTCTAAAATATTAAAATAACATTGTCTCAGACAAATGTGACCATATCTCATCATGCTATGCTGACACAAGTTTCACTTCTGCAAAGAATTGTTCCTATTATAGGTTTATGAAAGCAGTTTGTTGTAATATCCAGCTTAAACTAGTGGCTGTCTTTTTGAAACATGGTAGCTGGTTTCTAGCTGGTCTAAACTGGTTCTTAGCTGCTATTTGTTGGTTGACCACCAAGCATGTTCCAAAAATCAGCTTGCACCAGCTAATAAGCATCTCAGACCAGCAGAAGCAGTTAACATATACCATGTTAGATTTTGCAACAGGGAGACTAGACGGAATTTTTCAGATTTTAGCTTAAAAAATCTTGAGTTATCAATATCACAAGCAGACCTGCTTCTATTCATAGTACCAAGATGTTTATTGAAAAGTGAAAATGAAAAAATACACAATACACAATTTTACAACCAAAACCAGCACTCTGAAACTGGCAAGATGGGTTTCCATGGCGACTTCCATGGGAAGGGATGCATTTGGTACCAAGCAATAATTAATCTCAAAGGTACAGTAGGGCAGAACCCCACAGCTGTTGAGCTTGTCCATATGTTCCCATAAGACACTACAGGGGGACTGATGGGGGGCATCAACACACACTTAACAGAAAAGAGATCCAAGTAATGTATTAATATTCTTTTGTCCACATTTGAGGCTGTTTATAATTACATTAATTCATAAAGAAATTGTTTGTGATCAGGAAAGATCCAATCTGGAAAGCTGTCCACTAACCAGTGACCTCTGTACTACAGAATTGAGCATTAACATAAAACTACAAGGTGGTAATATTGTGTTTGTACATATTTTATATGAATGTATAAAAATATAAAGTGTGTATTTATTTATTTATCAAGGACAACACGCAGCAATTAACTGAACATTAACAGAAGTCAATATCATATTTGTAATCATGCTGATATTCAAGAAAACAGCACTCTTCCTCATGTGATATTGCTTTGGCTGTCGCCGGCCAACGAGTTGGTGTTTTTTCAATGTATGCTTCAGACACGGGTCACGACGAGGCGTTCCCCATAGCGACCCCTAGAGGACGCAGTGTCTCGTTCCCTACTCAGGGAACCATGGTTACATAAGTAACCTGAGACGTTTTTCTTCGTGACTGGAATGTGGTAAATCATAGAGTGAATTTGCGGGTTGATGGTTTCACTGGGTTGTCGGTAACTCAATTGCTATTTTTGTCCTCCGTTCATAAACACGCCAATTTTTACGAAATTAGACAACAATTCAAACGAATCTGTACGCGAGAGATGACAACCCCTGAAACCGATTCATAATTGACTCGTAATCGTAAGAGTGAATCATTCACGAATCAATTCAGACTGTTTGATCTGTGACCGATTCATTAAAACCAATCGACTCGCAAGAGTGATTCTTTGGCGAAAAGGGCGTCGCTCTGATTATAAACCTGATTGGTTTTTTTTTTTGTAGTCTATGTTCTAAACAGCCGACATAAAACCGGGACATATTATCAAGGTAAATGTAACGTTGTAGACTGACAGTCAATAAACCTATTAATCACTAAAATAGTTTCTTAAAAGCTATGATTTAAAATTAGCACAGCTACTGATAAATGTAACTAACATGTGTTTGTAGTACCCCTGCACTTTAAAATATAACATAGTAGATTTGTTCTGCATAAGTTTATTACTGCTCAAGAACCAAAAGCAGTAAAACGCATTAGATCATTATTAGATCATCTATCTATCTATCTATCTATCTATCTATCTATCCATGCATCCATCCATCCATCTTTTTCAGACTTCAAGCTACAACAAGCTTTCAGGCTAGGCTTTCTCAAGACAACATCAAAGTTTGTCTTAACGATCTTTTTATCTATTAAATTTTGTTGTCTTATTTTCTCAGCCTCAAAAGGTCTCTCATTAAAACATTTAGGGAATCTTGAGGAAAAGATTGAGGAAAAACGGCAGAGATTGTGCTCGTTCTGAAATTGTAGTATTTAGCGCCATCTTGTGGAAAGATTTACCCTTGACAGCCAACACAGGCCTTGATTTTGTTTGCACCTGACTGTTAGGCTTCAGGTCCCATACCCCGGTTTCACACATACAAGGTGCTGTATGCAAGTTTTTGACTCCACTAAAGCATAAAAATACCATAATATGTTTGCAGATATTTAAGAAACATGCTAAGTTAACATACTTGTTTATCTGAAAAACAATGCTACAGTCAGTTATTCTCCTTTGAAAATGTGCGTTCCGGGCCGGAATGT